GTGTGATCTGACTCTGGGTTAGCTGTTTGGGAAAAAGTATTGCTGGGTAGTGGTGGAGCGCCCAGTATCTGGTTGTCTTTCTTCTTGGTGTTGAGTTTTGATGTTCAGTGCCTGGATCCATTGGTTCACATCCATTGGTTCACTGGTGTTGCAAGATGATTCTTGCCTTTTGGCAGTGCATTGGTTCTTGCTTCTTTTGTCGAAGTGAACAATTTAATGATTTTTAGTAAATTTGCTAAGTTACATGGCCATCCCCACAGATCATTTCCAACACTCCAATACAACCCCATGCCATTTAGAGTTAACTCCCAACCCCAGGCAACCACTATTCTGATATCTGCTTCCTTGATTTGCCTTTTCTGGACATTTCATGTAAACGGAGGCACATATGTGGTCTCGTGTGAGCACTGGTTCTTTTTTTTTTTTTTAAGTAATCTTTATGCCCAACGTGGGGCTCGAGCTCACCATCCCAAGATCACGAGTTGCATGCTCTACCGACTGAGCCAGCCAGGCGCCGGGGAGCATTGGTTCTTAACCCTCGTGTGCATCTGAATCACAGGGGGAGCTCTCCCAAAACTTGGATGCCTGGGAACCACCCCTGAAAGATTCTGATTCATTTGGTTGCGGCTGGGGCTGAGCAGCAGAGTCTGAAAAGCTCCTCAGGTGGGTCCCTGCTTTCTCGGTTCTGCTGAGAAGAGTGGTCACACCCACCACCTCCACTTCCTCGCCTCCCATGTACTCCTTGACCGTGACGCTGTGGCTTCTGCCCCCACCACACAGCACCAAGATGCTCTGGCAACAGCCTCCCCACTGCTAAGTCTTATGTCCATTCGCAGCCTTCCTTCTACTTGTGTCTGCTCACATCCTACTTCCTGAAACCCTCGGCTCCAGACACCCACTCCCTCCTGGTGCTGCTTCTCTTTTTAAATACTGGTGCTTCCCAGAGCCCTCCTCTTCTTACCTGACCTGGTGATCTTACCCGTGCTGTGCTTAGTCATCACCCACGTCTGCTGACGTCACCAAAATCCCCGTTTCTCGCCCACTGTCTCTCCGAACGCCAGGATCCACCATCAGGATGCGGCCCATGCACAATTTTCCTGCTGACATCTCAACCCAAACATCTGCAAAGCCGAAGTCTCTTCCCCGCCCCCCAGCTCTGCTGCTTATCACCTGCGTCATGGTGCACGAACCTCCTTGACATTCAGTTTCTGTACTTGTAAGATGGGAGTAATCCCCTGTGGTGAGTTTCAGACGAGAGAGCCCAAGAGAAGTGTGGAGCCCACAGCTGGCGCCCCAGACTCATGCAGGTCGCTGCCTTCTGCTGCCCCCATCGTCCACCCTGAACGGTGCCTTGTGGCAGGTTGCAGCTCCCCATGGCAGAAACCCAAGGCTTCTACATCTCATGAGCTGCTCATTCTGGCAGATCCTGCCTTAGAAACAGCTCTCACTTTTGTCCCTGCTTGCTATTCCTATGGTTCCTGCCCAAGTTCAGGGCTTCATCTTTTTCTGTCTGGCCGATTACGTCAGCCTCCTTTTGCTTCCCAATCTGTCTCCAGTCGGTGGCTGAAGTGACCCGTCTAGAACAAAATCATAATTCTATAATTTCCTTGCTTGGGGCACCTGGCTGGCTCAGTTGGTCAGTCAGTAGGGTGTGTGACTCTTGATCTCGGGGTTGTAAGTTCAAGCCCCACCATGCTGGATGTAGAGATTACTTAAAAATAAATCTTAAAAAAAAAAAAATTGCCTGTGCTTAAAATTCTGTGATGGCCCCTAGGATCTGTCCAAATTGCTCAGCTAAATAATTCAAGTGTTCTTCCCCCTGGCCATCCCATTGCTCCCCTGAAGCCCGCCCTTACAGCATTTCTCTATTTCTTGCTTTTGAGTCTCGGACACCTGCTTTTTCAGCCTGAAATATCTCCCCCCACATCACCTCATAACTCTGCCTGGCAAACATTACTCATCCTTCAAAGCCACAAAAATTACCTCCCCCTTCATCACAGACACTTAGTCATTTCTTCCTCTGTGCTCCCACGACCCCTGGTAAAGCCTTGGTCGTCCCTTAGCAAACACATCTACCATGTACCAGACAAAGTTCCCGGGAGCTTTGCAAATAGTCACTCACTTAATTTTCACACAACCCTGCGAGGTGATTATTTTCGTTTTCCCTGTCACAAAGGAGGCACCTTTGAGGCCCCGGAGATGTTCAGTCACTTGTCCGAGATCACTTAGCTGCAGGTGGCCGAGACAGTACTGAAGAACAGGCCATATGGCCCCAGAGTCTGGGTTCTGATTCATTCCACCGTGCAGTCTCTCTGCCTGGGTGAGTATCACTGAACACCCAGTATTAAGCAAAACAATATGAAATTGCCAATATTTGGCCATTTTTGACCTATAAAAGCAGCACATTTGTATGGTTCCATGCGTGAGGCACTTGGGATGGAGCAGAAGACTCTCTGGATGATCCATTTTTGGCCCCCAGAGTAGAGCACGGGTGAAGAGCAAGGAACCGACTGAGCATGTGACCCGATGGGGGGTCTGCCAGAGCCCCCTGCCAAGGAAGTGATATCTAAGAGAAGACCTGAAAGAGGAGTGGAGGTGAAGGAGAAGTCTGAGGTGAGGGGAAGGGAAGGGACTTCCAGGCAGAGGCACAACCTTGGAACAGCATAGGCTAAGGCCTGAAAGCTAAGAGGGAGCGCTGTCCACTCTGTCATCCAGCAGTTAGTACCTGGCACAGAGCAGGCCTTCGAGAAGGATTTGTCAAAAGAATAAATGAAAAATAGAGAGAAGTATCAGCTGGAGCTAATAGAATGAAAGTGGGTTGTTTTTTTTAAAGATTTTATTTATTTATTTATTTATTTGACAGAGACACAGCGAGAGAGGGAACACAAGCAGGGGGAGTGGGAGCGGGAGAAGCAGGCTTCCTGCTGAGCAGGGAGCCCGATGCGGGGCTCGATCCCAGGACCCTGGGATCATGACCTGAGCCGAAGGCAGACGCTTAACGACTGAGCCACCCAGGCACCCCGAAAGTGGGGTTAGAGTGACTTACTTTTTTATTGCCTTATTTTAATAGGTTTAATCAGAGTAAAATTCACCCTTTTCTGTGTAGGGTTCTGCGTCTTGACAAATGCATCAGTGGTGTAACCACCATCAGAAACAAAATGTAGAATAGTTCAGTCCCATCCCCAAACTCACTGGTGCCAGTCCTTTGTGGCCAGCCCCTCCTCCACGCTCAGGAAACCACCAGTCTGTTCTCTCACTGTGGTTTGCCTTTTCCAAAATGTCATATGGATGATGAACTCAAATAGCACAGGGCCTTTAGAATCGGGCTTCTGTACTTAGAATAATACATTTGAAACGCTTCCCTATTGTGTCTGTCAGTAGTTAGTTCCTTTATAGGCTTAACGACTGAGTCACCCAGGTGCCCCAGGATTCACATTCACTTTAAAAAGCAAACATCAGGGGGACACCTGGGTGGCTCAGTCAGTCAGGGTAAGCATCTGCCTCCAGCTCAGGTCATGATCTCAGGGTTCTGGGATCGAGCCCCGCATCGGGCTCCTTGCTCAGCGGGGAGCCTGCTTCTCCCTCTCCTGCTCCCCCTGCTTGTGCTCTCTCTCGCTCTCTCTTTCTCTGTGTGTCAAAGAAATAAATACAATCTAAAAAAAAAAAAAAAAAAGCAAACATCCCTGCACCTGGGGTGGATGGAGTGTGAGCTTCTGCATCTCTGGTGTACGTCCAGGGAACTTTTGCCTGGCCGGCTGGTGAACAGTGGAGATGGGAACTGTGTCTTTGTCACTTTTACTGATATTCCCAGCACCCAGCCAGGGCACAGCTGGCTCTGAGCGAGGAATGAAAGCCACTTGGAGCAGAATGTGGGAAAGGAGGGCCAGGTACCGCCAGGTACCAGGTGGGGGAGGGGGAGGTGAATATTGGGTGCTTGGCTTTAGGGGAAGAAAGGGTGGGCAAGAAGGGCCTTGTTCTGAGAGTACAGCAAGCCAGAACGCCTGGTCTTAACTTCAACTTGGAGCAAAAGTGAGGAAGCAAAACCAACCCCCTAACATGCCATCCAATGTCCGTCCCGGGCTCGAGCACATGAGGCTGCAGGCCTTCTCCTGGCCGACAGATGGCGATGTTGCACCGTGCCTGAGCTCACCCGTTCGCTCCACGGACCTCAGGCGCGGGTTAGCCGCCGGACGCGGGCAGGAAGGACCACCATGTGCACAACTCTTTTTTTTTTTTTTTTTTTTTTTTACGGGGAAAGGACTCGCGCACACTCCTGAAGCTGTGCCTCACAGAGCAAGGGCTCAAGCCCAATTTCCCCCTGCACCTTCCTTGTACAGCCCCCATCTCTAGAGAGAGGACAGTTCGTTGAGACATCAGGGGAGGGGGGGCGGGGAGGGGGGCGGGGGGGGGATGCTCCAAGCAAGAGGTGCAAAGGCAGAGGTGATCACGAGGCCTGGCCGGTCGGACTCTGCCTCCAGTCTGCTGTATGACCTCGGCCGGCTTGCCTTCACTCAGTCTCCACATCTGTAAAGAGCTGGCCTTCCCGCGGTGAAATACGGCAGCCGTGGGGCAGACACACATCCTGCCGGGGCAGCTGCAAAGGCAGCAGGTGGCTTTCCGGGGTCTTCTCCTCTGCTTGGTCAGGAGCTGTTGATCCGGCACTAGGTTTGCCGCAGAATAGAGGCCACTCAGTTGAATCTGAAGTTCGGATAATCAACAGATAATGTTTAAGTGTAAGTATGTTCTAACTATCACCCGGGATGTATTTATACTTAAAACAAACCTGTGATGTTTGTCAGAAATTTAGATCTAACGAGGTGTCCTGTGTTTTTATTTGCTTAACCTGACAGCCTGGTCCAGCCCACAGGGGCTGGGACCCCCAGATCTTCGCCCTGATTGGCTAGCCCCCAGTGTCGCTGGTGCTTCAGTGTTTGGACAAGCAGCCGTGACTCCCAGGGAGGCAGCCAAGATGTAACGCCTTGTCCGTCTTTCCCTCCCAGGCCTGGCGCTGCTGCTGCCCCCCGCCACCCTGGCCGCCCTGGCAGACAGCTGGCTCCGAGAGGACTGCCCCGGTCCCAACCACGCAGCCCTGGTCACGGGCGCAGCCCCCTCGCAGGCGGTGCTGTGGGCCAAGTCCCCCGGGGTACTGGCTGGGAGGCCCTTCTTCGATGCCATCTTTGCCCAAGTCAACTGCCAGGTCTCCTGGTTCCTCCCCGAGGGCACAAAGCTGGTGCCCGTGGCCAGGGTGGCCGAGGTCCGGGGCCCCGCGCACTGCCTGCTGCTGGGGGAGCGGGTGGCCCTGAACACGCTGGCGCGCTGCAGTGGGGTGGCCAGCGCCGCCGCCGCCGCCGTGGAGGCCGCCCGGGATGCGGGCTGGACCGGGCACGTGGCGGGCACGAGGAAGACCACGCCCGGCTTCCGGCTGGCGGAGAAGTACGGGCTCCTGGTGGGCGGGGCCGCCGCTCACCGCTACGACCTGGGAGGGCTGGTGATGGTGAAGGACAACCACGTGGTGGCGGCGGGTGGCGTGGAAAAGGTGCGTGCCGGCCGCGCCCCTGCCCTGCCCCCCGCCCCCGACCTCCGTGCGGCAGCCCTTCCCCTCCACCAGGGACCCCCCCACACCCCCCAAACCACGCCCTGGTGAACAGTGATGGCCCAGGAGTCAGGGCTGCTAGACCCCCTGACCCCCTGGGCGCTCTACCCGTCAGATGGGCGCGCTCTGGGACTCGCTGTGATGTTCAAAAGCAAAGGGCAAGCTGCCCGGAACATGGTGTTGGTGGCGCTGTGACCTTGGCCCGGTCACTCTAGCTCCCTGGACCGGTTTCCTTTTTGAAAAGGGAGAAGACCCTTTCCTTTCCTTCCAGTTTTTTTTATTTATTTATATATTTTTTCGGTGCAAGAAGGTGTTTTTATTATAGCAGGAGGACAGGACCCACGGGCAGAAAGAGCTGCCTTCCAGTTTTGGGGGTTTTTTTAAAGATTTTATTTATTTATTTGACAGAGAGAGACACAGGGAGAGAGGGAACACAAGCAGAGGGAGCAGCAGGGGGAGAGGGAGAAGCAGGCTCCTCGCCCAGCAGGGAGCCCGATGCGGGGCTCGATCCCAGGACCCTGGGATCATGACCTGAGCCGAAGGCAGACGCTTAACGACTGAGCCACCCAGGCGCCCCTGCCTTCCAGTTTTAATATTCTTGAGTCAAATTGAACTCCCGTCCAACTGCCAAATATTGCTGCTATTTGGCCATCTTTCTGATCATTTCATGTGGTTCACCTGGTGTGGGAGCAATCATCAGGCTGCCTGGTCTTCTCCCTAACCCCCAGCTCCTTTCCCACCCCGGGCCTCTGGAAGGCCAGGCCCCGCTCTGTGCCCCGTGCCAGGCGCCACTGAGCTCACTCTGCCCTCTCCGGGCCTGGCCCACAGGCGGTGCGAGGGGCGCGGCAGGTGGCTGACTTCGCCCTGAAGGTGGAGGTGGAGTGCGGCAGTCTGCGGGAGGCTGTGGAGGCCGCCGAGGCGGGAGCGGACCTCGTCCTGCTGGACAACTTCAAGCCTGAGGTGAGGCGGGGTCTGCTTCCCGGGAAGGGGCTGTGGTGGGGGCGGGGGGGACCCTCACCTCCCCTTGGCTTGTGTCCCACAGGAGCTGCACCCCACGGCCGCAGCGCTGAAGGCCCGCTTCCCGGGTGTGGGTGTGGAGGCCAGCGGGGGCATCACGTTGGACAACCTCCCTCAGTTCTGTGGGCCCCACATCGACGTCATCTCTCTGGGGATGCTGACCCAGGCCGCCCCCGCCCTTGATTTCTCCCTCAAGGTGTTTGCTGAAGGGACTTTGCCAGTGTACCGGGCCTACAGGTCCTAAAGCCAAAGAGGACGCCACCGCCCATGGAATAACACGGTTTCTTGGGACCCTCAAGGTTGCCCCTGTTTAAATATGGTACATGACTCTGTCCGGGTTAGCCTGGGCGGGGGTCTGGCTCGGCCACCTACTGCTCGTGTGAGCTGGGGGGGCTGACTTCACCCCTGCTCATCTGTACAATGGGTCTAATAAATGATCACCTTACAGATTTCTTTGGGTGATAATGAATAAGTGCTCAGTAACTCTTAGAAATTACCATAGCTCGGGTGCCTGGGTGGCTCAGTTGGTTAAGCGACTGCCTTCGGCTCAGGTCATGATCCTGGAGTCCCGGGATCGAGTCCCGCATCGGGCTCCCTGCTCGGCGGGGAGTCTGCTTCTCCCTCTGACCCTCCTCCCTCTCATGCTCTCTGTCTCTCATTCTCTCTCTCTCAAATAAATAAATAAAATCTTAAAAAAAAAAAAAAAGAAAGAAAGAAATTACCATAGCTCATCGACTCTAAGATGCACCTTTTTCCACACACGACCTTCTCTGAGTCGGAGCGTGTCTTTCACCGATGGAGTCTAGTGGTCACTGTCACCGGGGCATCGTCATAGCCGTCATGGCCCATGCATGCCGCTTGTAGACAGAACATAACAATCGATGTGGAAATAAGTCCGAGAGACTTATTTTAACAGATGCCAGAAAGAAATTGAAAGTGATTAAAAAAAAAAAAAAGCTGCTCTCCCTCTAACCCTCCCCCTGCCCATGTGCACGCTCTCTCTCTCTCAAATAAATAAAACCTTAAAAAAAGCAAGCAAGCAAGCAAGCAAGCAAGCATTGGTCATAGTTTAATTGACAAGTTTCTTTTCCAGTAATAGTATATATATTTTATAGTCAATGGCATCTTATATTTGAGGATATATGGCACCAGGTCTGAGATTCAGCTGGAACATTCTATGTGGTTGATGCCCATGTTGTACTGTTTATTAAGTGCTTTGCCTGTCACCTCTGGCTACTGTGACCACCTCTTTGGAGGAGGTGAGAACCTGCCCATTCACTTCTGGGGTCCCCAACAGACTCCACCATGCATCCTCCATTTGGTGCTTGAAGGCCCTTTAGGTTCTGGTTCCATAGCGCTATCATTAGTTGGGAGACGAGGGTGCACACAGGGCAGCTGGGGCCAGAACAAAGGTCATTTGAGGGAGTAATGGGTCAGGTAGAGGTCCCTGTTCAGACATCAGACTTCCTTTCCTGCTAAGTCAGGACTCAGGGGTCTAAGCAGAGGATCTAGATCCAGCCTCCCCCCTCCTACACACCTGAGGTCTCTCTCACTCACTTGTTTGGGCACCCTACCCTTCCGGGGTCCCTCCGGGAGGAAACATGACAGGAAGACTCCCTAGGATAAACTGGTCACTGAGGTGACTCTTCCCAGAAAGGCTCCAGTCTCCAGAGGTACTCCCCTTCCAGAACCCACTGTCTTCTCTGCACTTTGCCAGAAGGAGAGAAAAACAGCTCATCCACAAAGCTCCTTTCCCAGGGGGAGTCTGCAGGTCCCAGTCTGCCTTAAGGGAGGTAACCTATCCCTTTGCCCCTTCCTCAGTCCTAGAGACCCCTTGCTAGGAAAGGGGCAGATCAAGAAAACAATGAGCTCATCTCAGATGTGAAAACCCCAGACAAGCCAAGACCGTCCTTCACATAGCAATTATGTACTGAGCTGCAGCTGTGGCCAGGCTCAGAGCACACAGTGGAGATGAATCTAGCAAAGATGCTGGGCAGAAGTGGTGAGCCACTGCCTTCGGTGATGCCCTGGCCTGAAGGGACCGTTCTCCCAGGACACAGCCCAGAGATGCCCCTGGGGCTGCACCTGTCCTGTTTTAATACACACTGGGGCCTCCTGCCCTTTCTCCAGGGAAAACAGTCATGCTCATCTAGGCAGACTTCCCGGCTCCAGGGAACTTAGATCTCTGAGCCTCAGCTCCTCAACCCCCAAGGGGCATAACTGAATGCCCATAGAACCAGGGGCACTTCTGGGTGTCAAGATAAGGAAATCAGGATTCACGGATGCGCTGGGAATGGGAAGGCAAAACGCTTGGGATCCAGGAGAGAATCAAAGCCTGACAGAGGCAGAAGGGCGAAGTGTACCAGGAATTTCAAACTCAAATGCCTCCAGGACCCAAGCAGATAAAATAAATGGGAGAAGCTGGAATAAGACAAAGAGAAGTGGGCTGCAGCCAACTGGGGAATGTATACCACACCCCACAGCATCCCAATTAAGAAAGGAAAAAGAACTCTAGGGGCACTTGGGTGGCTCAGCGTCTGCCTTCGGCTCAGGTCATGATCCTGGGGTCCTGGGATCAAGCTCTGAATTGGGCTCCCTGCTCAGCGGGGAGCCCGCTTCTCCCACTCCCTCTGCTGCTCCCCCTGCTTGTGTTTTCTCCCTCCCTCTGTCTCTCTCAAATAAATAAATAAAATCTTAAAAAAAAAAAAAAAAAAAGAACTCTAGCAGGCTGAGTCTCAAGCTCACCCTGGAATGCAGAAATGGGTCAGGCCTACAGGCACCTCCAGATCCGAGAGCTGAGAGGGGCTCCCATTGCCAGAGGAAAAGGAAAAGGATCCTGGGCAGGCAAAAGTTAACACATGCCTTCCTTGCAAGGGAGTGGATTTCCAGGCAGAGAGGACTGCAAGGGCAAAGGCTCAGAGGTAGGAAATGGCTTGGACTGTTTGGTGGAAGATTTGAAGATGGGATCAAGAGAGGCGAGATGGCTAGGAGCTGGGCTGGGTCCAGACCACAAGATGGTAGGTTGGAGGACTTGGACTCTGTCCCGAGAACACTCAGACTGAAGCTGGAAAGTGAGATAAGCATATTTTCGGTGTAGACCAAGTCCACCTCACAAGGATGCATGTGAAGGGGCCAGAGTGGCTGCAGGAAGCCCAGGGGGAGGCTGATGCAGCTCCTCAGAGCCTCGAATGTGGGTCATGGCAATGGGGTTGGAGACAAGGGAATGCAGGCAGAGGAAGCAGCGTATGCCAAGGCTCAGAGGGCAGATGGAGCCCCATGGGTTCAGGGCCGTAGGAAGAGTTGGGTGGGGAGATGGGCGTGGGGGGTGGGATGGGAAGAAGAGGGATCTCACACCTCACCTGGTATCACCCCTCTCTGCCTACACTTCTTTCTTGCCTGGCCAGCCTGCGATTAGGTTCGGATGGTTTCCCCAAGCTGCCCCATGCCCAGCGGAGACCCATGTTCATCATGGCAAGTGTGCCCATCAGACTGGGTCCTGCAGTCGGCATATAATGGGTCACCGACGCTGTCTGGCCAGTGAGAATGGAAAGCCCATTGACTGAGCACCCTTGCTCAGCCTGGGCAGGTCTCTTTCCCTCCAGGCTCATGAGGGGTTGGGGAGGGCGTCTCCATTTTCCATGAGGAAACAGGATTTATGAAGTTAAAAGAACTGCTCAGGGTCATACATCAATAAAGTGGTGGAGCAGGATTGGAAATCTATCAGCCACTCATTCAATAAATATATGTTGAACACCTACTATGTACCAGGCACTATTCTAGACACTGCATATACAACAATGAGTAAAAGGACAAAAGTCCCTGTCCTTGTGGACTTTACAGTCTGGTGGGGTGCCTGGTTGGGGGAAATAGTGAAAATATTTGTACCCTAATACCAAATGTCAAGTCCCCCTATGGCCACCAGGGGGCACTGCGATCACACCACCTTCCTTTCTCCACTTCCATCTTCCTTTCTGGGTTCCAAAGATAACAGCCGGGGAGGCTATGAATACTCAGTGCATCTGCTCAGGGAGGAAAGCTGAGGAGAGGTGTGCAACAGTTCCTTCTTCCACCCACTTTTCCAGCGTAATCCCCTTGCCAGATCCCCATCCAACTGCTCCAGGTCTCTCCGACTTTTTAAGGCCCCAGGTACTCCAGAGATCCCAAGGCTCATATTCACTCACCAACTTCCATGGACCCACCTGCCCACCCCCTCCCATCTATTCATGCCTCTTCCCAGCCCTCCACCCACCCACCAACTGGGGCACTCAGTCCAGAGGGGCGGGGAGGGCACGAGGTTAAACCAGGTTGCCAGAGTCCGTGAACTCACTGGGCATGAGTTTGAGCATGCCAAGGCGAGTTGTAAACTGAAGGCATTTAAAAATGGCAAGACATTATTAGTATCTGAAAGCAATTCAGCTGTCTATCTTTAAAAAATCCCACTGTGGTATTATGTGGTGTGGACACATGTTTTAATTTATCGCTAGCCCTTCAAGACAATATGGTAGGTAAAATTCCATAAATATTTCAGTACCTCTGTACTTTGTTCCAAGCACTTCCTGAGTAATAGATCATTTTGGCAGTTACTCAGTAACACTTTAAGACCTGCTTGCTGAGGCCCTAAGTAGCTCAGCTTGTAAGACCAAACTACGAAGTACTGAAGGGAATCTCGCCATGAGGCTGTGAATAACATCTCCACTGATCACTATACACTTCAGATTGATGCTAGGGGATGAGGGCTTTCTTCATTTCGGGTACGGGGTGCTCTTTAGATCCCTGGAATCTAGTACAGCCCTCCTGGAAAATGATCAGGGGCAGAGATGCTCATGCAAAATTCTGGTTTGGTGGGTTGCTGGGTAACCTCTTTCCTCTCACCCAGTAATTGAGCAGAGAGATTCCGAAGCCTGAGACAGTACCAACAAAGAGCTAACCCACGAGCCCCTTGCCTTTTTTTTTTTTTTTTAAGATTTTATTTATTTATTTGAGAGAGAGAGAATGAGTAGTGGGGAGAGAGAGCCCAAAGCGGGGCTCGATCCCAGGACTCTGAGATCATGACCTGAGCTGAAGGCCGACGATTAACTGCCTGAGCCACCCAGTTGGCTTCTTGATATTTGGTTGCTCTTTAGCCAAAGGAAAGCATTTCTGTTGGGATAATATATCAATATGTGAAGGACAATGCGGATTTATTAGAAGCTGGATAAAAATCATTCTTCCCACATTAAAAAACAACAACAATAATAGCCCTTTAACTGTAACTCACCGAGAACCAAACAAATTTAATTTTTATTTTTTTCCATGATTTGTTTTGTTTTCTTGGAATGTTACAAGCCAGAAGGGGAATTCCTTGAGGTTTTGCAGTGTTTTAAATAAAGGATTGTACGTAACACAGTTTCATATTTTTGGTAAACTACCCACCCAAATAGACAGATGATTCCAGGGGCTAAAGCAAGCCTTGCATTTTTAAAATTCCAATCTAATTAATTCCAATGGATGAAAAGTACACTGGGGAAGCCAGAGAAGGTGCAGGAGAGCAGTTTCCCTGACCTTCTATGGCAACAATTCAGCAACGCTCTGCATAAAATAATTACAATAGAACCCAAAAAAGCTTCATACATCTTTTCTGACAGTTAATTTATCTTCGCCTTTAGTTTTCATTTGTTAATTAATTTAGTTATCAGGTTATAAAGTGAAGAAGTGAAAATCTCTATTCACTCCCATTCCCTGAAGAGAGCCACTTTTAAAGAGTCCTTTTAAATTCTTCTGGTGGCTCTCTTGAATTGTAAAGATGATGATTTATAGTTCTTAAGGCTCTGTTGACTCTGCACTCGAAGGACAAAGAATTTAGCTTACGCACAGCTTTTCTTTTCTTTATTTTTGTTAGTTTTATCGTTTCCTAAATTTTATCTGTTTATTTAGTTCACTAATCTCTGCACCCAAGGTGGAGCTCGAACTCATGACCCTGAGATCAAGAGTCGCACGCTCTATTGACTGAACCAGCCAGGCGCCCCTGTTAGTTTTACTTTTTTTGGTAGTCTTTCTATTGGCTATCATTATAACTTAAAACGATATATCTAAGCCCCTCTTCTTGATGTATTAACATTTGAGAATTGAGATGTAATTCGATACCATAAAATTCACCCTTTCGAAGTGTTCAGTTCAGTGGTTTTTATTATATTTATAGAGTGGTGAAACCATCACCACTATATAATTTTCAAATGTATTTTTTTAAAGATTTTATTTATTTATTTGTCAGAGAGAGAGCACAGCCAGGGAGAAGTAGGCAGAGGGAGAGGGAGAAGTAGGCTCCCTGCTGCGCAAGGAGCCGGACATGGGGCTCGATCCCAGGACCCTGACCTGAGCCGAAGGCAGATGCTTAACCGACTGAGCCTCCCAAGCGTCCCAATTTTCAAATATTTTAATCATTCCCAAAAGAAGCCCCATACCCATCCACCCCTCCCCTCAGCCATTGGCAA